TAACATGTAAAGCATAACCCTACTGTTTAGCAAACGCTGTGGACAATAGTGGATTGGAGGTTAAGACACCAGAGGTCCTGAACATTGACCTGAAATAAACGACTGATCAACACTGGAGTATCTGGCAAGTGTTCCTCTATTGACAATCAATGGTATAGATTGGTTTAAAAAAGTCCTTTGAGAAAAGAAGAGGCTGAAGTGAGAAGAAGCCATTACAACGACCCACTGCTGCACTTAAAACACAGCCTTTCAGTTCAATAGCTCACCATTTCTATCTGTGTGGTACAATCCAAACCAGTCTTTCTTTTGTTAAACTTGCCTGGTCTTTTGTATTGAATCATTTAAGTCTTGAGGTTTAATCGTGTCTGGTCTGCTTGTTGACATACTTTGTTCTTTACAATGATATTGTTCAGTATTTAACAGACTTTGGAAAATAATTGTACTTTCATTCGAAGGACAGATAATCGTACTGATTGACCATAAACAATTTAACATTACAGTTCTGATTGTCTATCACTATGGCATTGCTTGTTTGGCATAAAATCACTAAACCAAAGCCCAAAAACAATTAATAAGCACACATGGACTTTGTATAAAAGATAAGTTTGGTTTTGGTTCTGTTCGGCAGATGACTCTTAAGTCTCAGATGTTACTTAACCATTCCTCTGGTCTTGAACCTCAAAAAGGAAGAGGTTTCCAAACAAGTCATATTCTCACTGCTTTAGCCCGTAAAGATAAGGTGAAATTCATAGTTTTTGTTGCGGCTGGTTAACTATCACAAGTCTCTCCAAGTTGATTATAATATTTTACTAACATAAACTAAGCTCAATTGACAAGGGAGGTGGGAATAACTAGGACAACATCAGTTAAAGGGCTCAAGGTGTAGGTGTATTTTTCGTCTTTTTACCCAGGCTTTCAGACATTGTATCACCTGTGGCTAATCTAATGTGTCCGGCTCGGCGTCCATGCAGGTCTCCCAGGGGTTACGGGGCATGTTGGGCATGGAGATGAGGAGCAGGGCACCCCCGCTGAGGATGAGCAGCGTGAAGGAGGCGCAGGCACAGGTGAAGGACCAGGAGTAGTAGTATTCAATCCAGATGGTCTCATCACTGTCAATCATGCGCTTGACAGACTGGCGCATAACCTCAACAGATATGATAATACAAAGACCTGCGGGGACAAAACAGAGAGTCATGGTCCTTTTTAGGAGAGGCTTCACTTGCATGGCAGTTGTGTTCAACCTTTAAATGTCAAGATTGTCCGTTGTGTTTGTAAGAATAAAAGCGATTCAAAAAGGGGGTTGACACCCATCAAAGTATATGATGATAAATATATTGAAATGCCACCCTAAGGCTACATCAAGAAAGAGCGCTTCATGAGTGAGTTTGGTTGGTGGTATGAGAGGGTAAGGCTTCTCACGTGTACATGTATCATTAGTATTCGAGCTGACTGCCTGAACTACCTCACAGGCTTCATTCCAATTAGTAATATTCTTGACAAATGAAAAGGTCTGATGACACGTTTACATCTCACTTGAAGCTGTAACACAAAAGACAAGAGTAGCAGACGGAGCCTGATCTGTGATTCACATTATCTGCAGCGTCTCACCTGCGAAGGCGAAGAACATCCCAGCAGGCCTGAGCAGGTAGTCCCGTCCCTTCCCGAAAGAGAAGATGACACAGATGGTGCCCAGGATCATAAAGATCAGACTGAAGATGGCAATGGCTGCTGCTGATATATTGTACTCTGAGGTTAGGACAAAGCAAGATGAAAAAAGTTAAAAATAAACAGTAAATAGAGAGTGAATATACAGAAAGAAAAGCAAGTGAAAGTGAGGGATGGAGAAAAGAGAGAAGCTGTAGTTATTACAAATTAGAAGAGAGTGGGAAGGAGCAGAAGGGGAGGTTGCAATCTCGTTTACATAATCATTTTCAATGTTGCACTCAGGCGAGTTATGACACGGATAATTAGCCTCTAAATTAGCCTCCCTTTAAAACAACAATCATTTATATAAAACTGGCAATAATGCCATTTGCAGATAAGAATCTCCAGGCTTATCACAATGTGGTTACAACGTCTCTCTCTTCCCCTCCTGTCTGTTGGTAGATATGTATGATTTAGTCTTTCTTTCAATCTAACACTCCAACTGTGATAGAAATGAACCTTAGAGCATCCGGTTTCACTTCAGCACCCCGACGGGAGCATCAAGTGTAAAATAACCCTATGCACTCATTCTCTCCAGTGCAGGTCGCCTGTCTCTTTGAGGGCTGTTGGTCTGTTTGGTGATGCATGAGTATCTCTTTTGCATTTCACGTGTGCATGTTTTTCCCTAAGCTTGATAGCTTTTGCACGGTATGTTCAGTTCAATAAACACATTTTCAAGCCCCAATTTGATTGCTTTTATTGTATTATTTGTGGTATACTTCCTGCTGGTAATAACAGGCTCTGCAGTCTCTGTAGAGTGTTTGAGTGTTGTATGTCTTTAAAAAAAAATTGACCTTGAGTCTCTTCAATAAAGCTGATGATGATGATGTAGAGGCTTTTAAAAAAACTACTGAAGACCTATCTTTTTACATTGGCTTTTATTTCAATTTGAAATGTGTGTGATGTGTTCTGTTAATATGTTTGTTCCTTTCAGGACTCCACGTGGTGTGTTTTGTTTTTATGTTGACCTTACATTTCTGCCTCATGTAGTTATTGTAATCATGTTTCTGTGGTCTTAATTTTAACTATTGTTCCTTCTTGTGAAGCACTTTGTGAATTCTATTTCTATGAAAGGGGCTATAATAAATAAACGTATTATTATAATAAATAAACGTATTTATATATACCTTAAATGGTGTTTTCAATTTGGCACAACTACATACAAAATAAATGCACATGAATAGATGCTTGAATTTAGCGGCATTCAAATTGAAATTATTCATTTCCAGCCAGAAGCTGGTCAGCGTTGAGATTCTGACAAGACTGTAGTACACACTGTATTAATTTATATATCTAAACTTGACAAGGATCTGTAATTGCCTGTCTTTATGAGTACCTAGATGTGTATCCCCCACACTTTGCTGTGTGTTCTTCAAAAGCTGAAAAGGGTTTAGCTGTTTCCTGGAAATACATTGACTTTGAGAATAACAATCTTTCTTAAACCGGAAAGATGAGAAGATCAGAATAAGAGGATATTGGAACATATTTCTATCTTATCTTATCTTATATGAAGGTCAGTGTGCATTTTACTGAGTTGGTGTTCAAGTGTATTGTAGTTGTATAGAAAAGAAAAACCTAGGTTCCTTGAACATTTCCTACAAACGTTTGTGGGAAAAAAATATCTGTTGTAAGTTTCAGTATGAGTGACAGTGAGGAGGCACCCACCTTTCTGTGTCTTCACTTCAAAAACTTCAGCTTCCTCCCCCGAGGTAAAGTGTTTGAAGTAGGAACAGTTTTGTGCTGAGTAAGAGGAAAGAGAGAAGAGGGAGTTGAAAAAAGGGTTGTATCTGTGTGTCTGAAATACCAATCAATCCTAAACCTCTCAATGGACCCCAAGTCAGCCAATGCACATACATTGATTAAACAGACAGCCATGAAAAATGTTAATGTTGTGTGACCATTATATTTTTTTACAAAAGTTAATTTATTTACCCATTCATAACCTCACTTTTTTGAAAGTTCCGAAATTATTTAGAATTATTTTTGTTTGCAAATCTAGCACATTGGCTCTTAGCTGTTCACCTAGGTGGATTCATACAGTCTTAGCAGCTAAAACCTGAACATCAGAAATAACTAGAGAATGCAATTCCTGAAGAAATTGCTAGTAATGCTTTATGCTGAAAAGCATGTAAGAAGAAAGTGAAGAATTTAGATTGAAATGATACATGAACACTGGGGGCTTGAATGTGTGATAAGAGAAGAAAAGAAAGTAAAATGGCTTGGAAAAGTAGCAGAATATTTGAACAGCAAACTATTGAACTAACTTGATGGCGAATTATCTGTCGCCATGGCAACGGTATTTGATGACACCTCATAATACGCTTAGATATGTTGATGGCTGCATCGTTACCAAACCTGTCAATTTTTGGGCTGTTTGAAGCATTTTCACTGAAGTTATGAGATAACCGTGTTTCATGGCGAGCATTGTGTTGCCATGACAACGGCATTCGAAGATGTCTTCACGGCTGGAGTGTTAGCACACATGTGAAGTTTTTGCACTTTTTGACCATTTTCATAGGAGTTATAGCAATATCGTGTTTTATTACAAGGGATGCGTTGCCATGGCAACAGCTTTTGAGGAAAACTCACTAATGGCACATAGACATGTTGAGGGCTGGACCATTAACTATCATCTGAAGTCTGGTGGTGTTTTGACCATTTTCATATCAGTTACGACAACATCGTGTCTTTTGGGGGGATGCGTTTCCATGGAAACAGCCTATGGTGAGATATCAGATTTGGCGTAGAGCTGTTGAGGCATGGACAGGTGATATACAAGCGAAGTTTGGGGGCGATCGGACCTTGTCCATTGGAGTTACAGCGACATTGTTTTTCATGGCGAGGGATACGTTTCTATGGAAACGGCATATGATGAAACGGAATAAACCCCATAATTGACGTAGAGCTATTGAGGGCAGGGCCATTCACCATTATCTGAATTCTGCTGCTGTTTTATGGCGAGGGATTGAAATTTCAAAGCGTGAAGCATGTCAAGGAACTTGAGCATCTGAAGGAAATGTTTTGTGTACTTTCGGGTTAATAATGTGGCCTTTTTGGCAGATTAACTAAAGGTGTGCGGCTGCTGTGGTGGGGAAAGATGAGGCTGAACTTACAATGGGGTTTAATGGAGACATGTTGAAAGTTTTTGTCACTTCATGCCCTCAGGAGGCATTTTTGTTTCATTATTTTGCTTAATTTATTTTTATTTTTCAAGCTACAAGATGTTTTCCTACGTTTGTCATGCAAAATTATGTCTCAGGAATGTAGGGTTTGGGAATTATGGCAGCTTTAAAAGAAAATATGAGGGCAAAATGTAATCTGTCCTCCACTCTGTGACATCACACACTCTAAAATCTGAAGAAGGGCTCTTTACCAAGGTCTGAACAATGTTTAATATCTCTAAAAGTAAGAATCAGATTTAAAAGTTGTGTTACACTAATAATGTCAGAAAGATGTGTAACATTTTAAAGTTGGAATAAGGTTTCTGAGTGAAAGTATGACTGAAGGAGCAGTTAGCAGTTGAAGTTGCATGAAGATTGTTGAAGTCTGAACAGTTCCTTCATTGTCTTCCATGTTCTTAATTCTCAGATAACATGCCACACCCATTTCTACACATCTTGACCATAATCTTTTCTATAGCTTCATATAGAAAAACGAATCCTGATTGGAGCCACATCCATCTTTCCTGTTTGTTCTCTCTAAGGATGGCTCTTTTCCTCCACTCAGCGTCCTTTCTTACTAAGGTTAAACCCATAAAGCAGATAGGTGCTCTCTCTGTCCTCTCAGAGACGGACAAGGTTTCTGTGTCTGAACACGTGTGTGTGTGTGTATGAGTGACGAGCTATTTGTTATCCAGGATGAGAAAGAATCACTAAAGAGGTAACCTAGCAACAGGCTGCTGCACTTCTTGCTCAGTCCTATCTGTTTACACATGTAAATTGTGTGTGTGTGTGCGTGTGTCCGTATGTTTGTGTTAGCATGGTGGCTAATCACCCTTATGTTAGCCCTGTATCTGTCTTGTTTCTGTTTGTCATTGATCTTTAATGTATTGTTTCTATAGGTTATTGCTTTTGAATTATTGTAAGAGTTTTCAATTGTTGTGAGGAAAAGATATTATTTTTCCTTTTTCAGTTCTTGTGTTACAGTGTCTCTTAGCATAGGAGATGTTTACCTACTATGGGGCCGTTTCTGATTTGCATGTTTTAAATCGGAAACAAGGTTTTGCCGGTAGAGTTTCTCGCTTGTTTCATCTTTATTGAAAATTAATTGAATGCAGATTTACATTTTTCAGTCAAATGTTGACAAGTTATTTCTTAATCAAATAGTACATCCTCCAAGGTCATGATTTTTATGTCTACTTAAAATCCTCTTGCTTGTTTTTCCTGATGCAAAGAAATTCAATTTGGCTGACATGCACCAAATGGTCTCTAACCTACTGTAAGGTCAATTTGCCTGGTGGAGCTGTTTGTTATACGTCAGATGACAAATATGCAAACATTAATTAAATGAACAGCTCAAAACTTCTTCAATGCCAGTAAGAGAACATATTTTTTCTTGAGTACTTAACCTTGGTGCTAAAAAGGAAGATCAGTTCTACAAGTGTGATTCATTCAAATAATTATATCACTTTCTACTGCTTCAGTATGCGAAAACCTCCAGGTTCTGTCCTTGACGCATTATACTTGCAAAGTTTACTGTTATCGCACATATTTTGTAAGGTTAAAAACAAAGCTGTCTTGTAACTTTAGCTGGTGAACATTCACTGAGGAGGAGGACAACATCTGGGTGCGTATCATTGACCTTGCAGTCAGGCTAATGAGGAGATTTAGTTCCAGTAAGGGACAGCGATTAGAACGAACTACCGCCTGTCATTTTAGCTTTGCCTCTTTCGACTAAACTCTGCTGCCACCTTCCTCTGTTTGATATGCAGATTCTCCTTTAGCCTTACCTTCCTCTCCATGCCTCCATCTCCACCTCATTAAACCTGTCTCTCTCCTACAACTCAACTGGTCTTTGCTTATTCTTCCAGTTTAGTATTTATGTGATTTTCCTTTTCCTTTGGTACTCATATTTTCACCAAAATTAGAACTCATATTGCTCTTAAAAAATAACTCCTATATCTCTTGCAGGAGTGTTACAGAAGATTTGTAGGCATGAAGAGGGCCTGTTCTTTTTGTAGCCACCCAGAATGACCCACTAATTCTGGGTCAATGTGAATAAGATGGGTGGTGGTGTTATTTGAATGGCTATTCCTCTGGAGGTCTGATAACTGGGACACAGCACAGGAGCCCTTGTGTGTGTGTGTGTGTGTGTGTGTGTGTGTGTGTGTGNACAACTATTTTAGATAGTTGATCGTTACAACCTTGTTTGTTTTAAACATCATAAATACACAAACAACAATGAATACTTACAGGTTGTGTACCCGAATCTGAGATTCGGGTACACAACCTGTAAGTATTCATTGTTGTTTGTGTATTTATGATGTTTAAAACAAACAAGGTTGTAACGATCAACTATCTAAAATAGTTGTGTTAATTGAACGCATAAGGGGTTCTTGAATAAAATAATATTATAAAGGTAAACAGAACTGATAAACGGACAATCTGCTCCTTAAACAAAATAAACAGAGACAGATTTCATACATGGATCCATTATATTGAGAGTTTTCCAGCCAAACAACACAAACAAAATTAAACAGTCGCTCTGCGATACACCAAAAGTGTCTTTACTGCGTACTCCAGGCTATTGTTCATTGACAAACAAGGCTGTTGCTCCTGCGACCGTCGGCGGCAAAAACAGAAATGTCTGTAGGCCTTTTCAGGCTATAATCCACAAAAAGAAAAATACGAAGATCAGCGTGGCACAAAGGAGCGATCTCACCCTGTGTTGGAGGGAATCTCTCTCTCTATCTGTGCGCGTCCTCTCCACGGAGACGTGCTTCCAGGTCGGTCGATGCAATATCCACAATCAGTACTTTCAGTTACTTCCCCATTGCATTTTAACATAGATATACATGCTGAGGAAACTTAAATATCCCGCTGAATACCCGCATTCGCCGCACACACGCTTCCTCCTCCCGTGAGAATCACACTCTGGCATCCTGTTGACACGCCCACTAAAAAGCCTCTGGGTGCGCCGCGACAGGTGAATATGCAGATGAGGCTTGCAGAACCACACCCTCAAACCGTACATAAAAGTGGACATTTAACAACTGTATTTGCGAGGATACATGTATCATAGTTTTCATTTCATTTCAATATAAACCACATGCCTTAACCTTTTCTCCTGCCACTACAGTATATAAGAAACACTTATATCAATCTGCGACTGTCACAAGGTATCTACCCTACTGTTTAAATGGGTAAACGTTTTTCGGACTACCACGTTGGGATCGCGGAGAAATGCTCTCCGCAGACGCATGCTCACAGCGTATTAAACCTTTTTCTTACTGAATATCAAGCCACACTTATTGTCTTTACTTCGGCTGTGAGTGTTTGTGTGTGCTCAGGATGAGTTTTGCTTGTTCTCACTGTATCGCGGACACAGAAGCCTCGCAGCAACGAGCCTCAACGTCCCGACCAATCAGAGCACACCGGGCTCACGGGGG